TATTATGTTAATGAGGTAGGATTAGAGGCAGTTATGTTAATGAGGCAGGACTCAATCTACAAGATTAGGTTGTATTTTGAGTCAAACTCTTTTGAAATATAAAAGAAAGAAGTGAGCAGAGAGACAGGGGGACCTCCTACCACCAAAAATGAAGAACAGGAGGGGAGCTCCTTTGGACCTGGGGTCCCTGTGCTAAGAAGCTCCTAGACCATGAGAAGATTGATGACAAGGACCTTCCCCCAGAACTGACAGAGAGAGAAAGCCTTCTCCTGGAGCGCTGGCGCCCTGAATTCGGACTTCTAGCCTCCTAAACTGTGAGAGAATAAATTTGTGTTTGTTAAAGCCATCCACTTGTAGCATTTCTGTTACAGCAGCACTAGATAACTGAGACAGCCCCTATGCCTGGGTGACTAAGCCAAGGCAGAAGGACAAGAAGCAAAGACCCCAGGGTTCCAGGACAAGACCAGCGACGGTAACTGTCTGCCCCTCTGCAGGGTCTTCAGGCTCTTCAATGGCTGCCCACACCTCTGTGACATCCCCTGAGAAGGCCAAGCAGAGCCAGGGACCTCTCCTGGGGACAGAGACACAGTCCGAACATGTCCTCAGCCAGAGCTTCCTCACCTCTTGCCTCTCTCCTCCCTCGGCTCAGCCCCGCCCAGCCCTGAGGAGAAGCTGGGAGCAAGGTGCAGAGCCAAGAACAACAGAGGTGCCACCTGGATGCCTAGGTGCTGGGAAGGTCCTCTCCTGGTCTAACTGCAATCCCTCCTATTACAGTCAGCCCCCTCCTCCTACCCTGCAGTCTGACCCTATTGGGCCACACCTGCTTCCCTTTGCCAGACCTGGAGCTGGTCCTGGAGGCCACTGTCATCCCCTGCCTTTGCGTCCAAGCTGCCCCTTTCTCCAGCTCATTCAGGAGTCTCTGTCCAGTCTCTCCCTAGTTCTCAGGGTCTCTGCCCTGCACCCAAATGTTTCTGGGAAAGAAGTCACCTTCTTTCTAGATCTCAGACCCTGTCTCCCAGCTAGCACTTCAGTTTTCTGGAAGCTCTTTTGGCCTAACTCCCACCATCCTGCTACAATGGAAATAGCATTTGGGGAGAGTCAGAGCCTGACCGTACCAGATTTGAAAAGGACTAGGTCCCTAAACCCAGTGAGACAGACAAGACTAGATCACTTCCCTCTGTACTGAGGACAGACTGAAAAGCAGGATGCTTGAGTCTCCACTCTGTGCTGAGTGGAATACTGTGAGGCTCAAAGAGGGCAGGAGGTACAATCCACCCTGTCCCAGCCACTACCAACCCATCTCTTCTATCTCAGTTTCCCACCTTCTGGAGAAGTCCTGCCTTCTTTCCTGCCTCTGTACTGGGCAGTAAAGACCCAGGTGTCCAGTCCCACCTGGGTTTAATTTCTACATGACTCCCAGCCAACGAACCCTCTGACCCAGCAGATGCAATAACAATGCTCAGGGTGAGATTCTTCTACAAGTGCTGAATTTGGCCAGAGAATCTCCTTGGTCTCAGTTGGTGGTAAGGGTGAGGGATTAGTGACTCTCCCACTCTCCTCATCCAGTCAACCCTTCCCTCCCCAGGGAGTGGCTAGGCGGGTCAGCCTCTCCTCCCTACCTAGCCTGGGAGGGAGTGATAAAGAGGGGTGGGGGTCTCCTCTTCCCAAGCCCCCTGGGCCCCTCAGTTGTACATAAATCCACACCCACACATCCCTCCACCTTCAGAAACCCATCTCCATTCCTTCTGGTGCAAAGCCATCACTTTCCTCTTAGCCACGCTGCAGTGGGAACAAAGCCCCGGAATGTTCCTTTCCTAACACTCTCAAGCCTCAGTCAGCTTCCTCCCCACCCCACCCCCAATCCTGCCTCAGCTCCCCCAGCTTCTCTCATCAACTTTGCGCCCTGCCCCCACTTGAGTCTCCGAATTCCTGGGAGAGCCTCGAGAGAGGTGTCACTGAGGCTCCTAGGGAGGGGACGGGGTCACCCTGAGCAAATCTGCGGCACATTTGGTCATAATTAAAAGGCCAGCGACACTGGGAAATTCCTTCTCCTTATGGATCCCGGCGGGAAATTAAAGCCGGTTGTTGTCCGAGACTGAATGGCTGGTGCCGGCTGAAACTCCTCCCATCACCTGGCTCCAGGGCCTCAGCCCCTGCCCCTTGCCCTTACTCTCCCCCACCCTCCTCTGCTCCTTCTCCCTCCTCCCCTCCCCATGCCTGCCTGCCCCCTTGGGTTAACTGGGCTGCTGCTGGAGACTGAGCCCCCCTGCCCTAGCTGTTCAGCACCCTGCTCAGACCTCTATCCACCTCCCTCAGCCAGGATTGGAGTGCCGGGCCGCCTGGAGCTCAGACCCAGAGCTGCCAAACCGCAAACACTCGTATCTGGAAAGAATTCGCCTTCCAGCCCGACTTCTCTTTGTCTTACTTCTGTCTCTTTGGAAATCCTGGCCTCCTGGCCAGTGGGGGAAGCAGGGAAGCGAAGGGAAGGGAGTGAACCCAGGCCTCCCTGCCCCCACCCCGCGGAGCCCACCCCTCCCTGGTTCCAGCCTCCCCAGCGAGTGTCCTCAGATCCGTCCAGTCCCCCTCCCCCTGTTCTAGTGTCAAGGGGTCTCCGCATCCCCATTACGGGCTCCTGGAGGTTTAGGGGGCCTCATCCTGGTGATCATCTTTTGGGTGAGGTTTTAACATCCTTAGTCACAAGGCCGTCGTCGGGGAGCCTGCCTGCAGGGACCCCTTTCTTTTACAATAAGAGGGATGCCTATTGAGCAGGAGACTGGACTTCTCTGGCTGGCGGCTCAAGAGGGCTGGAGGGGAGTGGAGATGGACATAATGCTCTGGGTGGGAGAGGGAGAAGGCAGTGAGGGGGGAAGGAGGGGCAGCAGGAATCCGGTTTCCGCCACCTTCCCTCCCCCAGCCTCTCCTCACCCCCTTGGCTAGGAGCCTGATTTCACTGTCAAAACCTAATCCCCCTCCCTTTACCTACAGCGACGCAGAGCCGGCAGGGTGGGTGGGTGGGGGAGGAGCCCCTGCTGCGCCTGCAACCCCAGGCCCTAAGCACCCCCCAGGGGCCTCCCTTCCTTCCCCCACCTCTGCCTTTGTCCGTCCTTCCTCAAAGAGCCCCTCGACCTGCTGCCCGCTTACCTCCTGAAGCCAAGGCTCTCCATGCCCCCAAATAACTCTCCCACACAAAACCTGGGCCCCCAAACCAGGCTGAAGCATCCAACTCCCTTCTTCAAACTTGACAGTTTATTGGCTATTCTAGGGTGGGGCCCCGTCAAGAAGTTCTTTCTACAGTCTAACCTCCATCCCTCCTGCTGCAGTCAGCCTAGCTGCTTTATTGTTTCTGCACACTCCCTTATTCAGAGATTTCCCCCTTTACAGCCCAGAGGCCTGACTGAAGACCTCTCCAGTCTTCAGTTCTCAACACCAAGGTCAGATCCTCCGGCCCCTCTCCTTTAGCTTTCTTCTGGGTTCCTCCTCAACTCCAGCCGAGACCCCCACCCTAGCCTGCTCCCAGGCTCTAAGAGTAAGGGCTCGGAGATTTCCGAGAGCCTGTCTTCTGCTCCACCCCTGGCCACGCTGGCAGGGAGAGGCCAGGGCGGAGACCCAGGGTTTTCTGTCCCCACCGCGGAAGGAGCTGGGAGAGGGGCTCGGAATGGTGTTTCGGGAAGCGGGGCTACGCGCGCCCATTCACCAAGGCCCACCCAGCGGCGGCGACCCTCAGCGCTGAACAGGCCGGGGAGGCTCTGCCCGCTCGGGGCACTGCATCCCTCCCGGATCCGCTCCTTCACAGTTTTATTCTTGAATCTCGGGGCCTGTCTCCGAGGCTCCCGCCTAACCTTCATTTCTGTTTCTGTCTCCTGGTCCTCGCCATCTGGGTCTCGCCCACTCCCCCTTGGGGCTCCGCGGGGAGCCGTGCCCTCCCCTGTCCTTTGATCTCACACTTCAAAGCCGCTCCCAGAGCTGCTCCTTCTGCCCCTTTTCCGGCTCAGGAAGGTGACACCTGAGACCCCGCTCCGCCCTCTCTCCAGGCACCTAGCTTCCCTCCAACCTAGGTGGCGGCGCAGCGCGCCGGGTCTCCCCGCCTTCGTTCCCACCTCCCGTCCCCGCCGCCAACCGCAACCCCCTCGGGGGTCTGGCTAGAGAAGCGACGCGGAAAGCGCCTTTATAAAGAGCTCGTGTCAAGTGATTGGCTGTGACCTCTGCCCTCCCCTAGCCTTGCGCCCCGGGCTCCTGCTTAACCCTTCGATGCCTGCTCAGAGGATTAAGAGGAATGAGTCACTCTGCTCGGACTTCCAGAGTCGCCAGGCGCTAGCCCCGGCGGAACAGGCCTGTGGTTAGGCGAGGAAAGGGGTGAGAGAAAGCCACGATGGCGCCCCCTCCCAGCCCTTCGAGTCGTTCCAGCAGGGGGCGCCGTTGCCTCACCACGTGCCCTACCCGGGAGCCCCAGCGCACCCCAGTCCCTCTCCGAATTCGGAGCTAGCCGTCCGATCCAGTTCAGGCTTCGGTGGAGCCGAAGTTCGACTGCCCGTTGCCTTCCCCAGCGCCACTTTGAGAGCCAGGATTTTGCCCGCTTGCCCGGTTGTGGGGTCACTGGGTGTTCGGGGCCAAAAAGTCGAGTGCGCCGAGTCAGATTGGGGAGGGGTGGGGAACAGGCAAGACTTGTCGTCCCTGCGGCCCAGAGACTGCTGGACCTGAGAGCCAGGCGCAAAAGCCCCGTCCCGGCGCCTCCTCCTCTCGGGCAATCCCAGTGCTCGCCCTGCGCCCACCTCCCTCCCTATTCACCCATTGGCGCTGGAGCTAGCTATCTCGGCCCTCTGCGTACCCTGGGTCCACCCAGGGGGCTAGATCCCGAGGCCAGGAGGGAGGTGGTGAGGCGGGGTCCGCGCTGAGGGCCCCCCTGGGGGTGGGGGCGGGACGGGAGGCGGGGCCACCACATTCCCGGGCAGGGGCGGGCCCCACGAGGGGTATAAAAGATGTCGGCTCGGGTGCCCGCGTCGGCTTTGGGGTTGCCCTGGGTCGTTTCCTAGCTCGGGAGTCTCGCAACTCCGTGAAGGCGGCAACGTCTATCTCTGCTAGAGGACTCTGCGTCCAGTGCTCCAGCCGAAGAACCTCAGGGGACCACCATCCGCGCCGCCACCATGCCCAACTTCTCTGGCAACTGGAAGATCATTCGGTCGGAAAACTTTGAGGACTTGCTCAAAGTGCTGGGTAAGGAGGTTTCCGAGCGCCCGGGAGGGACAACAGGGGGCCGGAGTCCTCGGAGGTGGGATGAGAAAGAAAGGGGGCTCAGATCAGGAGGGAGTCGGAGTCAGGGCGTGGGAGGCTGGGCGCCTGCATCCCGAGGAAAAGGGGCTGGACGCCCGGGTCCAGGGACGCTGGGCGCCGATGCCTAAATCCTGCTTTCACCAGCGGGGCGTCCACCCGTGCCAGCTCCAGCGGTGAGTCAGAGCCTGAGCATCAAGTAGAAACCAGAAGCACGAAGTCGGTTTTCCCGGAGGGTTGCGGGAGGGCTAGCCTCGGCACCTTGGCCGGGCTGACCAGGACACCTGGCTCTCGGCCGTTCAGAAGCTGCCCCAGCGAGAGCTGCAAAGCCTGCATCCAGGTTGAGCGCCTGAGTCTCTACCCAACCGAGGCCCTCAGAGACGTGCTAGCCTGCTTACCCGTGTCTCCCGCCCCTCGTAACTCAATCCGGGAACAGGTTCATTACCCCTCTGGTTCATTACCCCTCTGCACCCACCAGGTGATCCTCGGCCCCAGGCCCCCATCCCCCTACCTCCTTCAGCTCTTTATACTTTGCCTATCCCCCTACT